ATTTTTTTTTTTAATGATAGCTACTCTCATGGGTGTGAAGTGTCCTTTACATTTGAATACTATAAAAAACAGTTGCTGTAGTGAAGCCCTTGTGAACTTTGGAAGAAACCTTACCAGGGCAGGGGTGTGGATCAGCATAACTCCCACCGCCCCCAGGCGGGTCCCATCACTCTTTCAGTTTCAGTTTTCTCCCCTGTAAGACGGGCTTCAGAATAAGACCTGCTTCTTCAGATCGTTAAGGGGACTACCTGAAAGCATCCTTGTAAAGCGCTTAACACAGTCCGTGGCATAGAGCATGTGCTTAATAAATCATAGTTATCTTTAGTCTCCGCTTTTGAAAGCTCAGAAAGTGGGCCAGAGAGAGCCTTGGTACCTCTACATTTTGAACTGATGGGGCGAACCCAGCTCACAGGGATACTTCGGTATTGAGACATAAAAAGAAATCTGTTTGCCCAAACAACATTAAAAAGGAATCTCAAAATAAAAGGGAATCTTAAAATTTAACAATTCCACCCTAGGTCCCCAGCACTTTTTCCCCCCTCATTGTCCCTTAACACTTTTTTCCCCCTACTCGGTCCCTTTTCTCTTCCAGACCTTGACCAGTTGTATAAACAGTCCTTGCCATTGTCACAGCCTTGAATACAAAAAGATATCGCATCTGCCACCCTCCCTCCAATACGATTCTCATAAATTCTTTCCGCTTTCCTGTGTAGGCCCCCCACCCCTCACTTTCAAGAGATGCAGAATAGTCCCTTACATGTGGTGAGATGCTCTCCCCTTCTGTGGAGAATATGGATTATTTCTAGGTTTTTGCCGTTGTAGCCATGGCAACCAACCCATCTTTTCTGATCACAGGCGTTTAATGTACCGTTTGTGGACAGGCTGGGAACCAGAGCTCTGGTGTACCTGCTGACATTTTTTTTTTGCAACTTTTGTGACATTTCAAATGGCTTGTGAGTCCTGTGTTTTTTCAAATAAGGATTATCACCCTAAATCCAGGGTGCATTATTGCTGCCCATGGATGAATAACGCTGTAGTGAACATCTTTGTGTACCTGGCTTTCTCTTCCCGTAGATTGCTTCCATAGGATGCGTTTTTAGAAGTGGATTCCTGAGTCCAAAATGAATGTTTCTGGGGGGAGGTATATGTGGGAAAAACACCTGATTTGTAGTCAAGAGATTTCAGCCCCCTCACTACCCCTCACCAGCGTGTGATCTGCTTTGTCTTCCTCATCTCTAGAAAGGTGGTGGGAATAATTTGAAAAGCACAAGATTGTTGAGAATATTAAATGAGAGAAGGTAGAAGGTGCAGGGTCACACAGTAAGTATGGTGTCTGACTCTTGATGGGTCTCACAAAGTATCAGTTGGAAGTGAATGTTGGCAAATTGCTTTTATGACTTGCATTGTCCCTGGGAGGAGATGAGCGTGTCAGTTTTCCCACATCCTCGCCTGCATTGGATATTATTGTTTTCTACTCTCAGGGGTCCTCTCCTTGGAGGTATTTTTTTGCACACTGACTTTATGTCACAGTACAGCATCAGACCCGGGGGATACAGCTGTGAACCAGACCCAGGACTCTCTGGGCAAGAAGCTCCCAGTTTAGTGCAGGAAACAGGCAATCACCACCTGTGGGATCAACGCTGGGCTAGAAGCTCCAGGAGTTAGGTACCAGAGCAGAGAATAGGCTCCTGAACCCGCCCTGGGGCATCAGGGAAGGCTTCCTGGAGGAGGTGGCTACTTGGAGCTGAGAACCAAGCAATGCAGAGAGATTGGCCAGGAGGTAGGAAATGACAGTGTAGACGCATGAAGATGAGGAAGAGCATAGTGAGTTTTGTGACCTGTCTAGGGTTCACGTGCTGATGTGAGAGACAGAAAGAGGCGGAGGTGTCAATCATGAGGCTGAAGCTGGAGAGACAAAGAGGGTGCTGATCTTGCCGGGCCTCGGAGAGGAAGTTTGATCTTCATTCAGAGGGCAGTGGGGAGATGCTCATGGGCTTTGAGAAGGGCGGGGTGACATGGTGGCACCTGCGTATGGGAGAATCACTCGGCTGCTGCTGGAAGAGATTGGAGGAGTCTCCAGCAGGAAACTCACTTACCTGATGTGCTCTGCCTCTTGTGTGTTTATGCTGTTTGTCATCTGTTCCCACCTTCATGATTGTCAGCTCCGTGGGAACAGGGCTTGCTTTGTGTTCTGTTCATTGCCATGTCCCCTGAGCCTGGTATATAGTAGGTGCTCAATAATTGTGTGTTGGAATGAATGAATGAGTGAGTGAACGAATGAATGCGCTAGGGCCGCAGCCCCGGGGCTGGAGGGGGAGGATGCCCACACTCCGGTGACATTAGACATTGGGCCCTTTCCATCCGGGACCTGTGGGTGGACGAAGCACAAGCGTGTGTACCGCAGCCCTGCTCTCCGGGGGGGACCTGGGCATGCACTTGGCCCTTCCCACCGAGCGCCACACGGGGTGGATTTGCAGATTCGGGCGCGCAGGTCACGTTCCGGAAGGCGCTGGAAGGTGTCAGGACTGGCTCACACACCCTCACCAGATGGTGGCATTCCCAGGAAGCGGCACTTAGAGACGGCCGAGTGAATGGCGGTGGGCCCCCTGATTGGATCTAGGGAGTGTAATTATGAAATGTCAGCAGCAGCTGTTAGAATGAATCAACGCCTCTGAATCGGGGGAAGAGAGGCTGCCAAACGGGTTCTGAATGGAAGCGCCTCTCCTGCCTTCTCCCGGTGAGGTCCTCTCGGATTCCCCGCGAGCCTCCACGGCTGCGCCCCCAGCATCCAGCACGGAGCCTGGCTCGTAGAAGGAAGGTCAGAAGGACGGATGAATGAAGGCTCTTGAATGAAATCCTGTCTAATTTCAGCAACTGTCGGTCTTGGTGACTCAGTTCCCAGGAACATGGTTTCCTCTGCAGGGAGTTGCAGGAAATGGGAATTTCAAACTTTGCACATCAATTCGGGGAGATCAAGCCCATAGACGTGGCAGGTTCAGCGACAGCAGAGGTACACCCATTGCCACCCCCCACCTCTACCCCCACACCCTCTGCCTCCTGGACCACCGCAGCCTCCTGACCTCCCACCCATATCAGCCTTGCTCCCTGTCCTTCCCCGCCCCACCCATGCCGACCTCCTGGATGATTTGTCGATAAACCCAGACACGGTGCCCACTTGACATGCCTGCTTTCTTCAGGGAGCTCTTGTTTACCTGGCTTTGGCCACCGTGCTAATATATTTAAAAAGAACGAGCGAGGCCACCCCAAGAATAAACAGCATCTGTCCTCTGCGTAAGTGGGCTTCTGCAATGTTTTGGAAGAGACTAACATTTCTCAAATTAAGCGTAATGTATGTGATGCATTTAAAGTAAGGTTTAGGTTTCCATCGGGTTTCCTTGGATTTTACAACAGGTTAAAAGGAAAACGTGAGAATCAGGGGTTTCTAGGTTTGGGAAAGACTGCAAAATATTTAGTTAGCCGTCCACGATGGTGGTTTAACCCTTTTTATCCCCCGCGTTGTTCATTGGCTCGTTCATCCATTCATTGATTCGCTCACGCAACCATGTTTCTATACCAGGCATCTGCCTGACGTTTTAAATGGAAACTCAAGAGGGAGCCCAAGATAGAAAGGGGATTACAGATAACAGAGACACCGTTCTGATTAAGAGGGGTGTGGACCCAGAGCCTTCTTTCTCCTTTTCCCTTCCCTTTGCAGTGTAGCCGCTGAGATGGGTTCAGGGATCTCGAAGTGGGGTGATATTTGTGAACCATCGATCGTGATTCAGCCACATTGCTCTCGGTGGTTCCTCCCAGGCGTGGCTATACAGAGAAGCATTCCTTCCTTGCACCTTTGGGCAGATGAGCTGGTGTGACCAAGTCGGGTTCATGTAGTCCCAGCAGGTGTCTGACAGTGGGTATCCCGGGCGGTGGAGCGCCTCCCTGTGGTCAGGTGAGGTCCGCAGGTCCAGCATCCAGCTGAGCTCTTCACAGCTCTTTGGTTCTGTCATTCAGCAGCCGTTGACCTACGGCTGTGCCAGAACTGGCCAGAGCCAGAGGAACTGACGCATCTTACGTCCTAGGTCCCATGCACTCGGGACCCCTATGCTTATTCAGAATCTTAGAAGGGCCAAGAGAATATTTCTTCCTTCGTTTATTTATTCACTCAATCATTACGTGTTTGGTGCTGTCAGCTGCCAGGCCTCTGTGCTGGTTCCTGGCGATTCACGGTGCCCTCTGGGGGCTTACCATTGATGAGAAGTGAGGGGTCGTGCACTAGGAAATGTAACTGTATGGCTGTGATGAGTCTGGTAGAGTGTCTGTGGGTCTCCGTGGATGTTTAAGAGGGAGGTTGTACTGGGCTGGAGAGGGGCTGCTGTATCTGAACTGTGATCTTAGGGGTCAACCTGTGTCTGTGCGTAGCGACAGGGGTATCCCAGAGAGCAGGAACAGCATATGCAAAGGCCCTGTGGTGGTGTTTGAGGACCTCCAAGAGGTGCAGTGTCCCAGTAGTGCTGGAGAAACGGCTCCCAAGTTAGCCAGCTCCTTGAGTGTTCAGGAGTTACCTCCCTCTAAGCCAAGGAAGCCTTCCGGGACCACCACTCCCAATTCTAGGCAGTTAACCCTCCTTTTCCTCTGCTCCCGTGTCCCCCTTTATAAATCACGAGGTTTATTGCCCGGGTTGTCATTACTTGTGCATGTGTTTCTCACACAAGATTCTGGATTCCCTGAATGCAGGGGATATTTCTTACTCATCCTTGTGCACCTGGCAGGTGCTCAAGAATCATGTATCAGAGAGACAGGGGAGATTTTTACTGAGCACCTACTGTGGCTCAGCACCCTGGATGCCCACGTGTCTCTGTAAGGCTGCAGTACTGAAAAGCCAAGAGAGGCGTGAGTTTTACAAGCTGGAGGAGATGCCAGCGGATGCAGTTGGAGCTCAAAAGCTTTTGCGCCGTCTGTGCACATACTGCCAAAACTCCGGAACCGAGGCTGTCGCCCTGTGTCTCCCCAGACCTGCCGAAACTCAGCCTGCTGGGACGAGCCTCCCCTCCCCCGCCGGCTTCTGCCGCGGGAGTGTGCAGACAGCCCGGTTTGCCATGGGACGTGGTACTCCTGGCTTTCCCCCGGTGGTCACGCGTTCCCAGCCAGGACCTGCCAGCTCGGGTAAGTGGGGCTGGAAGGTCCAGGGGGTGCAGGGCTCCTGCGGGTTCCGCCAGGGAATTTTCTCTCTGTCTTTTGCATCCTGTTCTTGTCCTGTGTCTCATGTTCAGGCTACATCCATGTCCCAGAGCAGGGTTCCCAGAGGTCATGGGGACTGGCTCTAACGATGAACAGTTGTGATTTGGGGCAGGACCCTTAGAACTCCGCCCCATCATTGCAGGCGGTTCCTCCCAATTCTGATTTTCCGAGTCTCCATTTCTTTCCCTCTCTTCTGCCTGTCACCCTGTCTAGACAGTGTTCTCCGCTTTGAGGAGAAGGAATCTGTTTAGCACCATCGAGCGTATAAGGAAGAGAAAATATCAAAAATCTGTCTGCCTTTCTTTCCTGCAGGCTGCTGAGTGAGTCAGAGCCGGGGGCAGCAGGGTGGGGCCCCCGGAAGGGAAGCGGGAGGCTTGCGTGGAACTAAAATACCTTCCACTTTTAGTGCATCTAGACAGGTGCAGGCTGGGGGCAGTTCTGTGGGGAAAGAGAACACTGATGTGAGCTTGGAGCCAAGGTCAGGGAAGGAATCACGAACAGCAACTTGTCTGGCACTTTGGAAGACCGGAAAGGAATAAGACACGATTTTTTAAAAGGCAGAGTTGAATGGGTCCAGGACTTGAGATGGAGTTTCAGGCTGTGTGATGGCTGGCAAGTCGGGCGACCTCTCTGGGCCCTTTCCCTTCATCTCCATAGCGGAGATCATGAGAATCCCTGCCTCTTGGGGTTGTGGGAGGATGAATGAGAAAGGAGAGCTCTCCTACTTTGAGAGAGCAGAGCTCACGGCTGGATGAACCAGGGGCTTCTGCCTGAGCTGCTGCAAAACTGGGGCTGATAATCACATGCCCCACCCCCACAAGGTTGTGAGGAGGATGTGATTTGTAAAACGTGGAACGCGCTTGGCTTGCCGGAGTCCTCGCCCATGGTCAGCTCTCCCCGTTAGCTGTTACTCTTCGTACTAAGACTGCGAAGGCAGCCAGCATGTTTTCGGCATTCAACCGAAAAGAACCCAAAAGCAAACACATAATAACAGCAGGTGGAGTGAAAAATGAGGAGGGAGGGCTTTTTTTTTTTATGGCTTCTGGAGGACTGGGGAGGGGAGAGATAAGGGACGGTGATCAACTTTGTGACCTTGGGAACACTGGCTTCCAGTGGCTGTGTGAGCTGGGGCTGGTCACATAACCTCTCTGTGCTTGGCACTCACCAGTGGATGGTGACAAGGCTAGGACGCCTGACTCTGGCAGGCTCTGAAATGGGAAGATACTGCAGGTGGCAGGACTCTCACTGGGGCTCATGCCGGACTGCATCGTGTGAGTTTGGAGTCCGACCTGGGTTCGAATCCCAACTTTGCCTCTTCCTCTCTGAGTGACTTTGAGCCAGTTACTTGGCCTCTCTGAGCTGGTTTCCATACCTGTACAGCAGACATCATCACTTTTCACACTAAAGGCTGGCCTTGGGATTAGGGGAGCCAGGAGAACCCTGGAGAATGTTGGCACCTTTTCCTTATCCTTTGAGCTGGAGTGAACTTCAAAATCGGGCCATTTAGTCCACTGCCCTTGCCCAGAGCTGAGGGGCAGAGAGACTGGCCCAGGCTTGCCCGGTGAAGTCAGTGGGGAGCTACTGACCAGACCCAGGGCTCTGGTCTCTTGATCCCATTTCCCCAAATCTCTGCTTTCAACCCAGGCACTGAATCTTAAATCTTAGATTTTACTTTTTTTTTTTTTTTTTTTTTTTAGTGGTTGCTTCTCCATCTCCGATGTTCTTATTCCCCATGGAGCCACAACCGTAACCATGGCAACTCGCGTGGAGGTTGGCTCCCTCAGTCCTCTGACAGGAGTGCCCGGCCTGGGTGAGCTCTCCAAGGAGGAGACCCTGACTCGGACCTACTTCCGCCAGGCTGGCGACCCCGCCGGGGCCCCCTCGGCGCTGCTGTTGGAAGGAAAAAGCCCCCTCAGGAGCCCCGTCCGCTTACTCCCCCTGCCGAGACTTGCCCCCAAACCCTTCTCCAGGGAGAAGGCAGTGGACGTGGTGATACCCCCGTGGCCCAGCCCGACCAGACCCTCTCTGACCAGGGGGCTCTCCCAGGACACAGAGGGGCCGGATCTGGACGAGATGCCTGGCTTGGTGGGGCAGGAGGGGGGCAGCGGGGGCAGCCTGCGAGGCTCCTCTCTGTTTGACAAGGCCGCGGTTGCGCGGCCCAGCCCCAGCCCCAGCACCATGATTCTCTTTGAAACCACCAAAGCCGGCCCCACCCTGGGGAAAGGGGTCAGCCAGGGGGCTCAGGAGGCCGACGCAGGTGTGTCCCAGGGGCCCCCTTCGGGCTCCCGGCCTGAGGTGGCCACCAAGCCTGCCCTGCCGGCCCGAAAGCCTGCAGGGTCCCTTCCCCGACCAGCCTCCCTGTCTCAGGACAGGAGGCCAGCGGCCACCCAAGAGGAGACGCCCAAAGGAGCCTCTGTCAAAGGCCAGCAGTGTGGAGGATGCGGGCAGCCCCTCTGTGGAGCCCAGGCCACGCCTGAAGAGAAGGCCAGTGTCAGCCATTTTCATCGAGTCTATTCAGCCTCAGAGGCCAGGCCCGGGCGGGGCAGCCGCGATGGGGAAGGTGCCCCCCACCCCGCCTGAGAAGACATGGATGAGGAGGAGGCCCAGGCCTCTGTCTGTGGACCTCACGGCCCGGTTTGAGAGTAGAGAGGCCTTGCAAAGGAGGGTGGCGGACGAGGCCACGACAGGGACCCCTGCCCAGCGATGGGGGCCGGAGAGGCCCGACCCGGAGCCCAAAGTGGACTTCGAGTGTTTGGTCAAAGCAGAGTCTCCTCTTCACGACCAAGATTCCGACTTCCTGCAGGTGGCCAGGAAGATCCAGGAACGGAAGGAGAAGATGCTCCTTAAGCAGGTGAACACAGGCAGCCTCCGAACTGCTGGGGGATCAGCCAAGGTCAGCCCCACAGATGACTGGAATCTCGGGGAAGAGAAAGCAAAGCTGGACGGGGAGCCGGAGGAGGCCCCCAGGGTCCCCGAGTCCCCTCCACCCAAGCCTGGAAAAGGCCAAGACATTGCTGAGATCAAGAGCAGAGGGGCTGATGGGGACACCTGGGCAGGGGGAGAGAGGCCCCCCAGGGGTGGCGTGAAGAAACGCGTCAGCCTGTTTGGGGAGGAGAGTGCCTCAGCCTTGGCAGCAGGGTCCGAACCCCCACCAGCCACCCCTGAGTCCCCACTGGCCGCACCACAGCCAGAGAAGGCAGGTGTGAGTGTCCAGGAACGGATCAAAGGCTGGGCTGTTGAGAGCTCAGAAGCGAAGCTGGAGATCAGGAGGAGGGCGGTCCAGGCGCGACCACTGTCAGCGGATTTGACCAAACTGTAAGTGGGAATATTCCACGGGCTTCCCCTACCCCTGGAGAGCCTCAGCCCCCCTACTAGAGACCCCTTGGGAAAGGAAACTGCAGGGTGTCAGGCTTACCTGGTGATTTACCCACAGTCCCAAGAGGAAGTGACATTCACTCCCATTTGTCAGATGGGGAAGCTGAGGTATGTGCCCACAGCCAGGCCGGGAGCTCCATTCGTCCCTTCCCCACTTTGCACTTTACAGGGGAAGGTAGCGTGCCCATTTCACAGATGTGGACAGGAAAGGTGAAGGGTCATCAGGAAGTAGGGAGCCCGGTGTAATTCCAGCTCAGCCTGTCTCTATTGCTAAACTTTCCTTTCCTAAAGTCTGAGGACACTGAATATGTGGCTGAAACCTCCATGAATGACCCAAAAAATAAGATCAGATGGGTGGCGATAACCTGGGCATGTCACTTCCCCTCTGAAGCCTCAGTTTCTTCATCTCCAAGACGGAGCTGATGCTCAGACCTGCCTTAAAGGATTAAGGCAAAGACTCAAAAGAGGTAGTGCTGGAAATCGCTTGACCCAAGGGAAGCCTTCAATATGATACGATTAATCCTGTTGGTTAATGATGATTTTCTAAGCTTGGCCTGGCCTCTGACATCCCTGTCTTTGTTTTTCCACAAGTGGCTTCCCAGCTACGACAGGGAGATGGCACCAGGTGTGCCCACCAACTCGTTAATAGTGTACATGCCGCTGACATACTTTGGCTGGGAGGGAGCTTCCAGGGGGCGGGACCTCTGGGCAGACTGCCCTCCCGGCCCTGGGAACCAGGGCAACCAGCTCGGCCAGGGTTAGACCAGTGGTTCCCGGCGTTTAGAATGACCCGGAAAAATGACCTACCCCAAGAGGTTCTGATTCACTTGATCTGGGGAGGGGCTCAGATCTTGGTAGTTTTTTAAAAGCTTCCCAGGCGATTTTCATGTGCAGTCAGGCTTGAGAACCCCTGAATTCAGAAAACAAAGAAAGGGGCCTCCCCCACACCCTACTCCACCCCTAGTGCCCTGGGTTATTCCCATAAGACAGATGGGAAAACAGAGGCTTGGAGTTTAGAAACAGCTCATGCTCACGCCTCCCAGAAGGCAGACCTTGGACTGCTACGTGTGGGTCAGCTTTAAGGGGTTTGATTTCTCTCACCTCCCCGAGCTAATCTTTGGGCATCTACCCTGGAGAACTCTTTAGAGATGGAAAAATTCTAGCTCCAGAACTCCCCTTTCTCCTTCATCCCCTTTGCAGTGGGGAATCAGGCCCATAGAGGGACAATGGGCCAAGGTCATCCAGAGAGGCAGAGACACACCCGTGCCCCCACACATTCCCTGACTCCCCACTGCCCCTGAGTCCATGGTCCCGTGGTCGATCTGCAGTCGGGCTGTTGCGCCTGGGGTTGCAACCATTCATCATCCATCCCGGGTCATCTTCACTCTTCTCCAAACACCCTCATGTAGCTATTAGGGCTTTGGGTAGCCTCTCATCCGCCCTACAACAGACTATGGGGAGGTGTTAATTATCCCCGTTTTATAGATGAAGAGACAGAAGCTCAGGTGAGGTCACAAGCCTGACCCAAGCTCCCTCAGTGGGGAGGCAGCAGAGCTGGGGGACTAGCACCCAGGTCTCTTCACCCAAGCCTGGGGCTCCTGCTCCCCGGATAATGCTGTGTTTAAGGTAGGCTGTCTCCACCGGGTCCGAGAGATTTGGCAACTGGTAAAGACATGCCCCTTCTCAAAGGAAACTGGACAGTGTTTCTTTGATGTCCCTGAGCTAGTTACGGGGTGTGGGCTGGAGGGAGTCACAGCTTCCGGCCCCGTGCAAGTAACTCGGATCTCTGTGCCAGGTTTTCAAGTGCAGCTTCGAGCAACGAAGTCAAATATGAGAAGAGCTCAGAGCTGAGCGGTGAGCTTCCGAAGGAACCAAGAGACAAGGTGAGGCGCTGCCGGGCACATCTTTTATTTTCCAGTGGGAAGTTATGCTTTCATGATCTACAGGACCTAGGAAAGAATCAGAATCGTCTCATAAACCATGAACATTTTTTTCCTCTAATGTTGGGACTTGTGAAGTCCCTTCCAGCATAATGGGCTGTGATTCCTGTTCCTTGGGGTTAAATACGGTTTGCAAATATAATGGTTAGGAATTTATTTTTTTTCTGTGCTCATAGGAGGAGGGATATGGCTTTCCTATGTAAGACTGTTTGCTTTATTAAGAAATTACTAAGAGTTAAAAAAATGTTCATAGAAACCCCCTCAGTCTCTCCCATAATGGTCCCTGCTTCTTTCTCCGCCCTGATTTGTCCACCTAGCAGCAGAAAAAGGACGAAAATCCCCAGCAATTCAATTTCTTAAAAGGTATTTTCATTTAGTCTGTTTAATAGAGAGAAAAAAGCTCCTAACGTCTACATATAATTGGTTTGTGGTTGATGGTTTCTGCAGTTTTAATTCTTCTGAAACGGCTTTACTGAGGTATAATTGACTGGACATATTTAAAGTGTCTAAGCAGGTGAGCTTTGACAAGGTGTGTACACCTGTTGAAACTGTCATCTCAATAAAGGTAACGAACATTTCCAGCACAGGCAAATTGTTCTTGGCGATCCGCCTGCCTGCCCCCTTCTCCCCTCAAGCAACTGACCTGCTTTCAGTTACTACAGATTCATTTGCATTTTCTAGATTTTTATGTAAATGGAGCCACTGCTGTTTTTTTTGGTCTGACTTCTTTCACTCGGAATAATTTGAGCTTCATGAGTGTGGTCACACATGATCAACAGTCCACCCCTTTTTCCTGCAGGGTGGTATCCCATTGTAGGGTTACCGATCATTTGCTTATCCATTCACCCTTTGATGGGCATTTGGGATGTTTCCAGTTTGGGGGCCATTGCAAATAAAGCTTCTGTGACCATCTGTTCTCTTTTCTCGTGGCTAAACACTTAGGAGTGGAAGGGCTGGATCATACGGTTTCACTTTTTAAGAAACTTAGGCAGAGTTTTAGACACGAGGGCTTGGTTGCAAGCCCGTCTGAACCCCTTCCATCATAAATCCCCAACCAAGGTGAGCCGGCTCTGAACAGCAGGGCCCACCACTCCTGGGCTGGGCAGTTTGCCCTGTATTTATCCTTGGACATTCTGAAGCATGTCTTTAAAGATGCACAGGAGAGGGGCCCGTTAAAGTAAAACTCATAGTCACCTTAAGATACCATGGTGGCAACAACTGCAGGAACACAAAAAGCTTCCTGAAGCAAGCGGGGCAAAATGATTGTCATTGAATCCAGGGGATGGGTTGAGCCGATCCTATTATTTTATTCTTTTATTTATTTTTTCACTCTTTTTTTCGGGGGGGAGGGAAGGGAATTAGGTTTGTTTATTTATTTATTATTTTTTAATGGACGTACTGGGGATTGAACCCAGGACCTCGTGCATGCTAAGCACGCACTCTACCACGGAGCTACACCCTCCCCCCCTTTTTTTTTCTTTTAATGATATTTATTTTTTTCTTTCTAGCAAATTTATTATTCTAATCTGTAATTTCATATATGTTTAAAAATTTTCCCAAAAACGAAGAATTAATAAAGAAACCCTTGCTTTAATTATCATGAGAGTTCATCTCTATAAATAACCTTTTCTTTTGGTGATTTTTTTTTCCATTGTGGTTAAATACACATAACATAAAATATACCTTTTAAACTATTTTTAAGAACAATAAATATATATATTTTGATTTAAAAAACAAGCTATGTGTGTATACACATGCACACACACACACTTACAAAAATACACACACACGTTTGCAAGAAGATAGTTCTGGAAAGTTCTTCCCAGATCCATTCCCCATTGATAACAGTTGTTATCTGGGAAGGGAACTGGTATTTGATATTTGAATGAGGGCAGAAAAGGACTTGAGCTTTGTCTGTGTTGTTTAGGTCCTTATACAATGAGAATGGATTCATATATCACTCAAAATTTATGTAATAAAATGTAAACAAAAAATTTAAATCAATATGTTTTTAAAAGTCTTTAATGGCATTCCATCATCTAAAGTAGAGATTAGTGAACTGTGGCCCTGCCTGCTTTGTAACGATATTAAAACAAACAATTCCGTGGCATTAAGGAGATTCTCAATGTTGTGCAACCATCACCCCCACTCTTTAGTTCCGGAATTTTTCATCACCCCAAAATGGTAACCCCTTCCCCAGTCACTTCCCGCCCCCCACCCCTGGCCACCACGCATCTACTTTATGTCTCTATAGGCTTGCCTGTTCTGGACATTCCATATAAGTGGAATCATATAATATGTGGCTTTTTGTCTCTACCTTCTTTCACTTTGCATAATGTTTTCAAGTTTCATCCATATTAGAGCATTCATATATCAGTGTTATAGTCTTTTTTATGGCTGAATAATATTCCACTGCACAGATATACCATATTTTGTTTATCCATTCATCCATCAATGGACACTTGAGTTTCTGCCTTTGGCTACTGCGAATAACGCTGCTGTGGACATTGGTATACAAGTTTTTGTCTGAACACCTGTTTTCAATTCTTTTGGGTGTATACTCAGCAATGGAATTGATGGGTCATTTGGTTAAGTCTTTATTTAACTTGCTGAAGTAGACTTATCTCTAACAGAAAAAAAGAAAGATTAGAAAAGGACTAAGTGAAAATGCATGCATATTATAAAAAATCAAACAGGACTGAAGTGTGTAAGTTTAAAAGATGATGTTTTCATCCTCATTCCTTCTTCCCACCCTCACTCCCTCGCTCACAGTTTGATTTATGTATTTTCCACTGTTTATCTACATGTGTATTTGTAGATACACATGCACACACATGTACATTTTTTTAAATGGTATTTTATTATAAATATACAGTCTGCTTTTCTCCCACCTCAACACAACAACAGTTTATCTGTGCTTAGATGTCACAACATGAGGACCCGCCCCTGCCATGGGTCCAAGTGCCTGTGTGGTATTCAGTTGTTTGGATACATCAGAATTTATTTAGCCAGTACCCTTCAGATCGGCATTTAGGTTGTTCCTGTATTCTTTTGTTCCACCAACAGTGTTATATGAACGTTCTTGTTCACATAGACTTGTGCACATGGGCAAAGAAGGAATCCTGGGTGAAAACTGGCCAGATAAAAGGCAATGAGTATCTTAAAATCATGACAGACACACTGAATTGCCCAAGAGTCATGCCCACTTATCTTCTCTGCAGCCGTGTCTGAGAGTGTCCGTTTCCCCACATCCTCACTCACACTGGCTGTGTTCAGTCTCTAAAATTGTATAATATCTCACTGCTGCGATTTGAAAAGCCACCTTTCAATCTCCTCCCTGCTTCCTTTCCATTTCGAATCCTTTAACTTAAACTGGGCTGTTTCTTTCTTTCTCTTTCTTTGTTTTTTGCTTTCCCAGCAAAAGGAAGGGCATGATGTGGACGCAGCATCTGTCCCAAGAAGCCCCTGGAAGCCTGAGACGCCCTGGGAGAAGCCCAGGCAGACGGAGCGGAAAGACAGTTCTAACCAAGTGCCCGACGGCTGTCGGGGTGAAAGCGTGGTGGGGACTCTGAGCCCTTCCGACAGCACTCCAGAAGACGATCGAAGCTTCCAGACCGTGTGGGCCACGGTGTATGAGCATCGTGTGGAGAAACACACCGTGGCTGACCAGTCAGGATGCTGCCCCTTGGCCACGACCCCCAGGGACGTGGCCGATCTCTTGGAGCCCAGATCCAGTCTCCAAGGGAGAAGCTCTTTGCCCCAGACGACATACCTGAAGAGGGAGTGGTTTGAAAATCCCGACCTGGAGACATCGGGGCGAACCACCTTCTCCAACGGTGAGCCCAAACAGCATCGCACATCCTCCCTCCCGGAAAAATGCCCTTTGGGCGAAAAGGGCAGTAATAGCCCCTTCCTCCAGCGCTCGGAAAGCCCTCCCGCGTCGCAGAGGGTCGAGCCCAAGTACGACATCGTGCATGCGGTGGGGGAGCGCGCGCACAGTGAGGCCGTCCCCAGGGCACCGGAGGAGAAGGCGGTGACACTCCGGAGCAGCAGGTCTCGGCTCTCACTGTCCCGCGAGGTCACCCCCGCTGACCCCGAGTGCAGGCTGGAAGGCCAGGTGGGCTCCGTCCAAAGGGCGAGTTTGATTTGGGAAGCTCGAGGGACGCGTGAGGTCAGTGGGCCAAAGCCTGAATCCCCCCGAGAGCCAAAGGACACATTTGGAGGCAATTGCCTGTCACCCAGGTGGACAGGTGGGGCGACTTTGAGCTGGCAGAAAGCCACCGTGGTGGTCAGTGAAGAGAGAGGCTTGGAACCGAGCCCTGAGGCCACCTCTGTGAGGACCGTCCAGGCTGCCATCCGGGAGGCCCAGCACCAGGGGACCGAAGGGGCCTGCATCAAGCCGGGAGAGAGGGGTGCCCCCTGCGGGTGCCCTCTGGGGCCTCCCTCCAGGGCTAAGGGCGAGCCCTCTGACTCCAGAGCCCGGCCACACCCGGACGCACTGGTGCAGAAGGGGCCCCTCGCTGTGGCCGCCGGCCAGGGTGAACCGAGGCCGGAAGCCAGGACGCGGAAGGTGAGTCCCGGGGACCAGAGATTGGAGAGGTGGAGGCGGCGGACTTTACCCCACGACGTGAAGTTTGACGAATTCAGCTTCCTGACCCCAGAGCACTCTTCAAAGGCAGAGCAGAGACGGACAGATTACTTGAGCCCCACCGCAGGTGCCTTAAGAACCCCCCCACCCTCCCACACTAGGGCGGAGGGCCAGCAGGTGAAGCCCGGTGTTTCACAGGACTGGGCTTTTCCAGCGGCAAAGCAAGGGTCCTCTGGGGAGCCCAAGGCGACGTTTTTTGCAGTGACTTATCAGATTCCTGACACCCAAAAAGCAAAGAGCATTGTTAAGCCTGGGCCTGAAAACACGGCGGAACATTCCAGAAAAATAGCCACACCTCCATCGCCTCATCCTTTAACATCTACTTTGGTTTCTCTTAACCACGGAGAGCCACCGGAGGCCGTGGGCAGTAAAAACCGGGCCCAGGGCAGAGAGCACGACAACGCAAGCTTCCCAAAGAGTCCAAAGAGGCCGGCAGACCTCCCAGTACCTCTTGGGGACAGGATTCTGGATCCTTCCAGTGAAAGGATCACCGATACCAGTGCTTTATGGGTTCATCGGGGACTGGGCGATGGCACTGGTTTCCACAGCGATTGGAAGGAGAGTGGGAACAGGACACCCCCCAGCAGTGCCCCCAAGACGCCCCCAGCTTTTAAAAGTCGCCCCAGAGCCAGTGATGTCCTCATCAGAAGGAAGACGGAGGTGGTCAGCGAGACGTTTCCGGGTAAAATCAAAGATGGCTACAGGTCCAGCGTCCTCGACATTGACGCCCTGATGGCCGAGTATCAGAGGCAGCCGGCCAGAGGCCCCGGGGAGGCTCAGGAGCGGGTGGGGGGTCCACCCGCAGAGGCCATGGGCTCGAACCCCGAGAGGCCTGGCCAGCAAGGCGCTGTGGATTGGAGACGGAGGAGCCTGAAGGGGGGCCCCGAAGCGGAGGGGCCCCGGAAACAAGCCAGTTTTGCCGAAATAAGCTCCAGTTCCACCCCTGGCTCGGGGAAGCAGCCGGCGGAGACCCCAGGGACACCCACAGACACCAAGTTCAGCCCTCCCCTGTGGGCCCTGCCGCACCCGGCTCCCCCTGAGAGGTCTCCGGGGGCCTCTTCTGGCCCCGCAGTTCCCAGGAAAAAAGGCCTGAGAGTAGCTGAAGATGAACAGAAGGCCTTTGCTAGTAAACATCATGGCGCAAAGGGCCAGAATCACCCGGCCGAGTCCAAGCCCACCGCCAGCTGGGGGGATCCAGGCAGTGGGGCCTGTGTGCCGCCCAAGTCCTCCCCCGCTGGCCAGAAGACAGGGTCCCCGAGCACGTCCCTCGGGAGGGGAGAGGAGGGCGGTGTGGCCCAGTGGGGCAACCACCCACGGGACTGGGGAAGGTCACCGCTGGATGTCAAGAGGGCCTGTTCCGAGAAAGGCCCCCCGGCCAGAATCCAAGAGGGCCTGTCCGTCATGCAGGAAGCCAGAGAGAGGAGGCGAGAGCAGCTCAAAGGGAGGCCCAGCCTCCCCAGGGAGAGTCCGGAGGCCAAAGAGACCAAGATGCAGCCCTTCCGGCAGGAGTCGGGGAACCGAGACAGTCAAAAGGTGAGTACGAAGGCCGTTTCAGTTTTGTCAAACGTTGGTTAAACGTGCAGGCCAGGGGCCTCAGAATCAGAACCTACCTGGGCCAGGTGGGTATGGAAGTGAGTGGAGTCCGGCTGGGTGTGAGACGCTAGGGAAAGGTGGGGATTGTGGCAAATGGAGAGCTCATGCCTTAATGTGACAGGGAACAACCACTGCTCAGTCCCCGCTGGTTCTTGACCAGTGAGAAAGGCTGATCTGACTTAACGAGAGAATCAGAAAACAAAACAAAACAAAACAGATTTTTGTGTGTAATCTGCACCCCCATCATGTAATGAGGAGGACAACTTACTAAAAAAAAAAGACAAAAAAAAAAAAACGACTATTTAGTTCAAACAATGCTTTTGTCCCCGTTCTCTACAGCCTGTGGGCTACCGATTTGAAACTTCTGGCCTAGAACAATGATGACAGGTATCATTTATTTATTAAAAAATTTTTTCAAATCATTCTTTTTTCTTCCAGTTTTTTAAAAATTGAGATATAATTGACATGCGCTGTATACTTTTTTTGGTTGGGGGGTAGTTCGTGTTTTTTAAATGGAGGTACTGGGGATGGAACCCAGTACCTTGTGCCTATTAGGCACGCACTCTACCTCCAAGCTATAACCTCCTCCCCTCACCCGGTATCATTTATTGAGCACCTGCTGTCTTCCTGTAGGTGGCAGCAAGCTCATTATTGTATCCCCAGAATTCAGCATCCTGCCTGACGTTTTGTGAACCATTCAAGAAGTGTTTGTTGAACGAGCAAATGAGCGATCTTATGTGACCCTCAGGATGGTCCCACAAAAGAGAGAGTGTCGTGGTTCGGGTTTCCACAAAAGCAGCCCCTTGCAAGTTGTTTTAGAAGATGACTCCCAGGGGAGCTGGGTGGGGGCGGAGCAGAGAATTCAGGCAGGTGAGGGAAGGCAGGTGATAAAGGTGCCACTGTGGGCACTGGAGACCGCTGGGAATCAGCGCAGGTCACCTCTGCGTGGCCCTGCCCAAGGGGCAGGGAACCTGGAGTATTTATTTCCCAGTCCCCTTCTGTCCTTGCTTGAGGCTGTCTCTGGGGCTGTTAATATTCAGACTCCTCTAACCTGGCTGGTGCCACACTCAGCGCTGGAGAGAAAAATCCTCCCATAGCATCAGTGTGTCCGTGAGTGTTGGGCAGAGTGCCCACAACATCTGCTGCAGGTACCATCATCTAGTGCAGATGGACAAAGCTGAGGCTCAGAGAGGTTCAGTAACTTATCCCAGGTCACACAGCACCAAGTGGCAAAACTAGTGTTTGCACCCAGTTCTGGCCTGGTACCTGAGCGTTTGGTGGAATGAGGGATCGTGAAGACGGGGAAGAAATCTGAGGCATGGAGCCTTGTCCTCAGGGCACTTCAGATCCCTGTGCAGAGATGGGACATGGTGATCGATAGCCAGCCAGGAAATGATATGGTGCAGAGTGTGGCACTGGAGAGAAGCCCAGGAAGGCGTCCCAGAGGAGGGGCTGGCTTGAGCCCACCTTGAGGGATGGATGTGAATTTGGATGAGCTGATGAGGGTAGCTGGGGGCATTCTTGGTGGGAGCACAGCCTGTGCAGAGTCTCAGAGGTGGGGAAAAAACATGGCATGCCCTGGGGGCAGTGTGGAATCTGACTTAGTGTCCCTCCCCGTCACCCCGCCATCCAACCTAGAAAGGGATGCTGTGGAAATTAAACAGTAAGAGAACTCATCTATGGTTAAGAGTGGGTAAGTGGTGGAGTCGGGCCTTGAACCCACGTCTCTTCCAATGACCGCGTTCAGGCTTGCGTTGGAATCTCAGCAGCTCAGCTGCATGGAAAGCAGGCACTTGGCACTCCCCGAGCCTCAGTTTCCCACCTCCGGGTTAACGAGGATTCCTTCCTCAAAGCACTGCTATCAGGCTGAGAGGACATAAATGCCGGGCACGGGCCAAACACGCAGGGGG